TCTATAGAATGGAAAATGCTTTATAATTAAATAAAGTACTGAAATCAGCTTTAGCCACCTAAGAGAAAGCAGATTGGACCCCCGAAAATCTTACCCCATCAGGCTTAAATTTGAGGGCTTCATAGATATGAAATAAAAGATGAAAAGAATCAGGTTTTGAACCCCCATAATCACAGCAACTTGGATTTCTATTTTTAAGAGTTAATCTTCAAAAGCAGAGCTACGCTTAGAGAATCAATTACATTTCTGAGCTAAAAAGCTATAGTATAAGACAGTCAGTAAAATTTCTCTGTGAACATACAGAAAATAAAATAAGTTTTCACTGCATATTAAAAATGCATATGTACAGTTAAGTGCTTTATGATTAACAAAAGGTCCATTAAATAGAAAACAGGATACATTCTCAAAGTTGTCCATCCTGGAATAAGATGTTAGCCTTTGGCTACCTAGGAGTAAAAGATTCAATACTCAAATTTGAAAAACAGGGCTCATGCTGTGTGCCCACTTCCCCTGTCTGCCCACGACAGGACGCAAGCGGCACACCTCTCTTTATAAAGAGGCCCACGAGTGCTTTTAAGGAGGGTCCTGCTGTGGCGCTGATGGCTGTTTCTACTTCTAAATTCACAAAGGCATTTCAAAAGATGCCGGGTCACCGGGCGTTTAAACTAAATACTACTCAGAGGATTTGGCATTCCGATTATAAGCTAGGCTCTCCCAGTGTTCACGGAACAGCAATGTGAGATTTTAATCTTTTTTTTTAAAAAAATGTACGTTTCGTTTTATTTAGGAAAAAAAATCGAAGTACGCTTGCTGTTAGAGGACGAAGGCCGGCCCTTCTGTTTCAGTCCTCGAAGATGGCTACTTAGTATCTAGTTCTCTGCTGCCATCTACAGGCGGAACGCCGCGTAACATCGGAATGCCCTGGCGCGAGAACTCTCACCTTGGAACTAAGCCTCTTTGTATCACCATTATTTGCACACTGATTAGCATGAATTCGTTTCATTAGACCGAAACGCTCTATTTGCATGAGCAAAATGCAAAAGAAAAACTTTAAAGCATTTGGAAAATTATCAGTTAAAATAATAAACAGCATTAAATGAGGAAAAATAAATTGGAACTGACATCTTAGTCATCGGTTCTTCATCAAGCTGAGCAAATCTAATAATGCCTCCCTTCCCTCCCTTAGAGCTCAAGGAGTCCACCGTTAAAATGTCATCTCTAATTCCATTTTATGTCTATAAATTGCGTTTTAATAACCTTTTGTTTCCCTTTCTGGTTTTTTTTTTTTTTTTTTTTTTAATCCCCCAACTACTAGCAAAGGTAGCAGAGGGAAGCTGGAGTCTTTCTGAGAGGCAGAATGTTGCAGTTAGAAGGACAGCAATGAGTTTCCACCTCATCACGCTGCCTGACCCAAATGTCAGAACAGCTCTGTGATCCCCGTAAGCTACCAGCTCGTAATTACTCTCCTAGCCAACTCGAGGACCTTAATATACAGTTATCATTTATCCTTTCTTTGGTCTTAATATATGTAGGGAGTGGGAAGCAGAGAAGAAAAAATGACAACACGAACAAAAAACACTAAGGTTCAGAACCATGAGTGCATGTTAAACTATGTTCATGTCATAAATTACACCTGTGACTAGCGTCTCTTTGTTATAACAGTCTGCTCGTTTTTCCTTTGTCATTCTGAGAAAGAAAAAAGTGTCATAAATTCCTCTGTAAGCATCATTAATCTCCAGCAGGTGGTTAGGTTTCTAACTAAAGAAAGAGAAATACCAGTTAAAGACTAATGATTTAATTGTTGATTTCCTGAAAAAATAAGCTGATTGATACTATACTCTAAATAGTATGTATTTTTTTTTTTAATTTTAAAGGCTGTATATTATTTCTAAAAAATTCAATCCTAGGACAGAGGCAGTTTAAAATAAAATACATACTTGATAGCCCCTGGGGAGAGCATACGTGCCCATGGGGAAAAAAATTCTGCTTGAATGTAATTTATACTGAAATCATTTTTTCTATATCTAGCAAATAGAAATTATTACAGTATTATATTAATTACAGGAATTTCTATCATGTGGGTGAATTACTAATTACATTGCATTATTAAATTATCAAATGGTCTTTACAGAATGCAGCATTTATGAGGGCTCTTCCTTCTACCTACCAGGTAGATACTGCCTCACAGTAGAGTCATTCCCTTGCAGTTATACTTTAGTTTGAGTTGGAATGTTATTTAATTCCAAGGCTCCTTTTTCTTGTGATAGTCCTCCGAGACTTAGTCTTTGCATTTATGAATGGGAACACTGCTATAGGGTATAGACTTATCCAGTGCTATTCTGAAAGCTAGTAACAAAGGCAAGCAACACGGCCAGTT